AAGTCCTATGACTCGCTTTTCTTTAGTTGTGGCACTATTGTAAACACGTAAAAACATAGATTATCGACTATGCTGAACATCATGGCAATGTTTATTTTTCGTGTTTAGAATAAAATTTTTTATTAATCATATATGTTCATTATGAATAGACAGTATTTTCATATGAAACAAATGCTCTTATGACAATCTATGCACTCTTTTCGCGTGAATTCAATGAAAGACATGGAAAAAACTTTATACTTAAAAAGCAGTTAAATCATCAACTTCATTATCATTTAATGTATCGTCGTCAACATCATCTTCACTATCGGTCAAATCATTTTCTATTTCTTCAACATTTTTGTCTGCAGTTTTAAATATTTCTTCTTGTTTATAGATATGTGCAAAATAGGCAGAAGCATGTTCAGGACTACATGCTGCTAACCATTCATTACAAAGTTGTTCAATATCGTCCAAACGAAAACGTACCTTTTGTTGTCGAACGTAATTTTTTAAACCTGCCCAACCAAGTTCAATAGGATTCAAGACACAATGCTTCACTGGTATTCTAACAATTTCAGTATTATGTTTACTTGCTATTTTATCAACAATAAATTCCTTTGGTGGTAAATGAGTAAAGACTAATTGCATTAACTCAGCTTTTGTTATATAAGGTTCATATTTGATTTTTCGAGCAGTTAGCCAATCCGCAATTAATTGCTTTTTCCAAGCACGTTTAGATGGTTCACATTCGGGAGCAAGCTTGTTATGTCATTTGGCATTATCTATAATAATAGCAATTTTAGTCGTTTTGCCATGTTCAGATCGTAAAGTACTAGCCGTACACTCTAAAAAAAATCGGTTTTTTACCGAACCCCCAAAAAAGGTTCCGGAGATGTCTAAAAGCATCCAAAGATGTCCAAAGTCTCAAAAAAAGGATAAAAAAATCTACGAAACCTTTAAAGGTTCTTACCGTGTACCGAGGATAAGAACCTTTTGCTGCGAAACCTTTTTTTAAGTTCCGTACAGCAGAAAAAGGTTTCGTAGGAAAATACGAAACCATTAGAGTTTCGTATTAAACTCTACGAAATCATGAGGGTTTAGTGCAAAATCATGAGAGTTTAGTACGAAACTATTAGGGTTTAATATGAAACTCTAAAGGTTTCGTATTTTCCTACGAAACCTTTTTCTGCTGT